GTGCGAGACTTTGCATTTGTTTTATCAAGAAGATGCATATCTTTAATCATGGACATCACCTCGTCATTAGCAGCCTGGCCATATTTACCCTATAGAAGACATTAACACATTAATGGTTGACGTCTGTCTAGTTAACAATATAGATTGGTAAGGAATTGTGATCGTCGCAATAAAATATACTTAGTTACGCCATTTTTGGTTTTGTTTTGTAAATTGATAGTTATATTTATAATCCTTTCTCATTGAGATTTTGTTCAAAAAAAACGTTTTTCTAATTTACCTTTAAGTTGACAAAGAATTCCAAGTGCTCTTTGACAGTGAGTCGGTCAAACAATACGTTATGCTGAGGGCAAAGTCCCAGGCTATCTCGTATAGCATCGATTTCTGTCAGGATGCTTTTATTTCCTATCACAGCTGAACCAGAAGTCGGCGGAAAGAGGCCAGTGAGTATGGAAATAGTWGTTGTCTTCCCGGCTCCATTATGACCCAAGAGTGCGGTGATTTGGCCTTTGAACATCTTCAGGGAGAGTCCATCAACAGCAACCTTGGCCCCGGTAGAACCCTTCCATTAACATAAATACATATTCTCAACATTGATGAGAAAATTTCTAGTTTTTAACACAATTGATATACATATCAAAGGAACTCATATATAAGTTGTGCTGTAAAGAACTACGTATATTAATTTCGAGAAGATGTACAGTATTTCGAGAAAAAGGATGTGAAATTAAAAAAGGTTTTTTAAAGTCATCATTCGGCGGTGACTAGAAGTGCTGTATGTACCTTCTAGAATTTTCAAATAATTCTTCTCGCAAACTTATGAATTGGCTTATTTTTTACCATTCCGCTCATGTATTTCTAGTGATGATTTTGCCCTTACGGCCTAATTTCGAAAGCCTGATGGCGTATTATTGACACGCCACTTGGAAAAGCGGAAAAGCACTTTTTTATTTCTGCAAATACTGGTCACTAACCTTAAAGACTTTTCTCAGATTCTTTATGGCAATGCCTACTTCTAGGTCAGCAGGTTCATCTTCTACGTCATGGCTATGGTGAAGTTCTCCATCATTATTCTCCACCATTGTAGTATTGTCTTCGATTATGTCATCATGAGAGTACCCACACCAGTATGATTTTAAAAAAGGAAAGTAGAATGGTTTTGAAATTCCATACTTTCCAGGAAATATGGCTTCGATATACCTAAAAACACAATATAAGTTTAATTGTCTCGGTTACTTGGGCTATTCCGCAGCTCATCAAGTTCACTGTTGTTCTGACGACGTTTCGTTGCCATTTTGGTCAACTTCTTCAGGTCGGTATAACTTATAAGAATGGCAACGAAACGTCGTCAGAACAACAATGAACTGGATGAGCTGAAGTAATAGCCTAAGTAACCGAGACAATTATACTACACAGCTCGCCGAGAAAAGTTACCGATTATTAAACAATATAAGTTTGTACTGCTATAGCATACAGATTGGATAGCACCGTGACGGTGCATGTGTCAGATTACCCTGGTTGTCAACCAATAGCTGAGAACCAGTTAGACTACGGTTTATTGAACTCAATGTCAACTATTCAAGAAGCCAGTTAAGTCGATTTTGGTAAATAGAATATTTGACCACAAGAGTTTTGGTCTTGAGGAAGCCTGCTAATATTAAAGTACTGGCAGTGTTCGAATTGAAAAAAAAAAAAAAAACTGCGAATATGAGAGCATAATTTTCAGCTCACATGAAACTACACGTATGCAAATTAATTTGCGTCAGAACGTCCATAGTAACTATTAAGAAACTCGACTTTAACAGTGAATATCAGCGATCCTGACAGCGTGTCCATATCATAATGCAACACCAACTAGATTTGTTAGCGTAGCTTACCAAGTCAGCACCATAAACACAACGCTAGATATAAACATCATTCCAAAAACCCAGGCCATGGTAAATGTGTCTTCTGGGGTATATGGTTCATTGATGCTATCAAATGTAATCCCAACATTTAAGCCTTCAAAGCGTGTGATTAAT